GTCATCTGCAAAGTGCACCTGAAGAGCTTCGTGGAGCAGCAGGGCCTGGTGGGATATGACCCAAATCTCAATGTCCTTCTCGGTGAGCTCATGTGCAGCAGCTCTCGGGTGATGGTGGGGTAGTGAGTGGCTGTAAACAGGCCAGTTTCCTTTTTCCCCAATTATTTGTACAGAAGGTAAGGGGGTTTAGATCCAAATCGCCTTCTCCTATTATTCCCCTTCACTCTGTCTGGAGCCAGGAACTCTGAGAGCCTGGGGCAGGCCCAGTGTTGCCAGAGGGCAGGGGGGTGTGGACCCTCATGTCCTGCTCTGAGCATCTTTCCTTTCTGCAGTGACGGAGGGGCAGCTGCAGTGCCTGGCTGAGCTGCAGCAGGCTGCTCTGCAGGGCTCGGTGAGTCACCCTGCGCCACTGCCAGCCCGTAGCTTTCCAGCTGTTGGTCCCTCCTGTCATGCAACAGCATTCTGAGTTCCCTGCTGTGCTCTGCTGCAGGCTGAAGGCCAGGGGAGCTGCTGCAGCATTGTGCATGTGGTGAACTGCGAGGAGGAATTCCAGCAGCAGCAGCTAGATCTGCTCTGGAGGATTTTGGATCCAGGAGCCCACACAGCTTTGCAGGTGAGGAACCTCTGACCCTCCTCACAGTGGCCTTAGGCATCCTTGTGCTCAGCCAGCCTCTTTCAATCCCTGCAGCAAATGCTGAGGCCCATCCGTGCCCCCTTCCCTTGCCCTTGCTGGCCCCTCCATGTGCTTGTCCAGGTGGCAGAGTGGCCTCTATGCCCTTGGGATTCCAGTGCTAAGGAAGGGGTAGGAGAAGAGTGCAGGGACACATATGTAGAGCAGGGCTGGTTTTAGCCCGGTTCTCCTGCACTGTTTTGGTGGAGCTTCTGAGCCTTTAACCCCAGCCCTGGCCTGTCCTCTCTCTTTCAGAAACACCTTGTCTGTGGGCCAGTGAAGGTGACAAACCCATCATCACCCATCAGGGCAGACCAGTACTTCCAGTAAGTTGGCATGTAGCGAGGTGGCTGCTTTGCTGCTCCCCTGCCATGCTTCCTGTGCCCTGCCCAGCCCCAGGGCACCCACACTGCAGCGCTGAGCAAGCTGGTGGCACATGGGGAGTTCTGTGCAGCTCCATTCTGCTTTTCCATGGCCTCGGGGTCCTTTTGAGGACTGGAGGTACAGAATGGAGGCCAGAGGGCCCTTCCCAGTTCCTGTGGCCTCCTCCAGCAGTGCTGCTGGTGGCTCTCTCCATACTGCTGGAGGGAAAGCCAGCAGCAGGAGCTGGGTACTGCAGTGGGGCAGGGTGGTGCCTCTGCCTTCATGTGTTAGTGGACAACCTTGATGCAGAGATGGCCATTTCTCAGACAAAAGACAGAACTCTTGCCCAGCACAGCAGCCTCCTTGCGGCTCTCTCCAGGCAGTGGCACAAGGGGCTGGCCAGATGTGGCTGTCCTTGCCTGGCTCCTGGAAGTTTTGTACTGCCTCTTCTTGGCTGGGTTGCAGCTGGGATGCTCTGAGCAGCCCAAAGGCTGGGGGAACCTTAGGGTGCTCTCTGGGGCCAGCTCAGCCCACAGGTGGTGGCTGTGGGTGTCTCTGTTCCTCCCAGGCTGCGAAAGCGCCAGATGTACGAAGCCTCCGTGATGAAGTACGGGGAGCTCGTGCAAGGTGAGGCTTGGCTCTGCACACAGGTGCTGCTCCATCCCCATCTCCACTGCTTCCACAAGTCTCCCGCTTCACCTCTAAGCCTGCAGCCAGTGGGGATCTGCCCTGCATGGTGCTTCCTCTCCCCTTTGTGATGGAGCCAGGTGCTGACCTTGCTGGGGGGAAAGTGGCCAAACTGTCCCCCAGAGCGGCACCTCTGGGGGCCAGAGCCGGGCTAGTGTGGCGATCCTCAGCTTCCACCAGAGCCCTTTGGCCCCAGGGTTTCCTGCCTGGGTCCTGGGGGTGACAGTACACAGGAATGGAGTGAGCTGTGCATGATGCCACCTGCTTTCTCCACAGACGAGGCGTGGACTGAGGTGATCGATACCCTCACAGTGGCTGCAATCAGGTTTGAGATGCTGAGCACTGCTCACCGGAGTCAGGTAGGACAGCAGTTTGCACGGAGCGGGAACAGCGGAGTGGCTCTCCTTAGCAGCAGGGACTCTGACTTCTCCCTGCCCTCAGATCACCCTGGACCTGGAGGACAGCAGCATCTCCACAAAGGGAACCAAGAGTGGCGCCTTTGTGATGTACAACTGCGCTCGGCTGGCCACACTCTTCGACACCTACCACCGGGCTGTGGAGCGGGGTGAGCACCACCCCATGGTCCTCCACAAATGGCCACCCCTGGGCTGTTCCTCATGCCTGGAGCCACAGAGGCTTCTCTGAGCACAACAAGTCTCCCACCCCCTTTCCAGGCACATACCCACCTCTGCCACCAGTGTCAGAACTGAACTTCTCCTGCCTCCGGGAAGAGGCGAGTGCTGAGAAGGGGAATGCGGGGACTGGGGTGATGGGTGCTGCTGGCCCTCTGCAATACATGAAATCCTTTCACAGGGTGAATGGCTCTTGCTCTTCAACTACCTCCTGCCCTTCCCTGAAGTCCTGCAGCAGGCAGCAGAGCTGCCCACACCCACCAAGGGGATCCGGATCACGGCCAACACGGAGCTGGTAAGTGCCACGTGCTGTAGCACCCATGGGTACTGCTCCAACACTCCCAGCCCAGGGCGAAGCCGCATGGCAGCAGGGAGTGACACAGGGGTGGTACTGTGCGAAGAGGCAGCAACACCCTTGGGGCTGCTTCTGCTGTGCTTGGGGTGAGGAAGGGCCCAAGACCAGCCAGGCTGTGCCCTGCCAACAGCAGCTCTGTCTTGCAGGTGTGCAAGTTCCTGATCCAGCTCAGCATGGATTTCAGCTCCTACTATAACCGGGTCCATGTCCTGGGGGTGAGTCAGACATCCCCAGCCTGCAGTGCTGCCCAGGGCTGGGTGCAGTTGTGGTGCAGCCGCGTGGGGAGCAGACTCAGGGTGCCAGTGGTATGATACAGCCCTGCAGCAGCCCAAGGACACAAAGAGCGGGTGCAGAGGCAGCAGTGCCTGTAGGGGCAGTATGACCACCAGCCCCAAGTCACTGTCCTTCTCGCAGGAGCCGTTCCCACACCTCTTTGACCAGATGTTTGCCCGCCTCCAGCTGCTGGGAGCAGTGAGGGACACGTTCCACAGCGCGCTGGCGACTCTGCACCTCCCTCCTCTCAGCCAGATCTGAGACACCACTGAAGAGCAGTGCCACGGTGACAAGCAGCAGGACAATGTGCCATGAGGCGAGGGGCAGCCCCGCCATCAGGGCATGCCTCAGCCCCATGCAGGTGCTTCCCCTCCCGCTGCCTGCAGTTTGGGGGTTTGCCCACGTGCACCCTGCAGCTGTGCCAGTGTGGGAGGTGGGTGTGCCTGCCATGTCCATGCCAGCAGAAAGGAGGATGCCTGTGGGCTGGGGAGCACTAGGGAAGGCAGTGCCAGAGACAGGTCACCACAAAGCCAGGCATCAACCTCATTTCCTTCAAAGCCATTTATTGAAGGTTGCTCCGTGCTGGCAGGGAGCTCCTGAGGTGCCAGGCCCTGGTAGCAGGGTACAATATATTTGTTACTGGACAAATGAGTGTGTGTGTCTGACCCCAGAACACCTCGCCCCCACCTGCAGCTGGTTGTCCTTCCCTGTGCTCAGACTGTGGGGTCCTGCTGCTGTGCAGGAACAAGTCACTCAGCTCAAGGCAGCACTGAAGAGCTGCTTTGAGTGGGGTGGCACGACATAGGTGGTCTGCTGTGGAGGATCAGGGTCCCCATTCATTTCAGCACAGTTCCCAGCTCTACTGGGTCAGGGCTGTCCTGTGCCACACCAGTGGCTGCCTCATCTTCTCATCTTGGCGTCCTGCTGCCCTCAAACTCCCAGGGCTGCCACAGTGCTCAGTGCCCTCCTGAGCAGGTTCCTCTCCGGGACCAGGGCAGAAGCCTGCACATTGGTCCCTCACCCCTCGGGGGAAGAGGAATTTCTCCTGGGCAGGGTAGGCTGATGACTCCACTTCTTCACTGCCTGGTGGGCCACAGGCTTGTCCATGAGGGTTGCATCAACCTCCTCCCCTAAGACCAGCAGCCTCGAGCACCTTGGACACGACTGTGCTTTCCCCAGAGGTGCCCAAGCACACCCAGCTCAACAGAGGCCCCGTGAGCACGCAGCAGGGGCAGAGCACAGGTGCAGGGTGCGCTCCCCAGGCAGGTGGGGACCGGGGTGCGCTGCACGCCTGCCCCATTACCGAGGAGCCTCTGGC